GTGATTCACAGACGCATCATCTCCATCAGATTGGTCCACGTGTTGTGATCCTGCTGGCCTTTTGCGCCTCATGCGACGAACATTTTCAACTAATTCCGTCATTTGTTGTCTAACCTCCATTCCTCCACCCGGTCTTCTTCGCGTTGTTTCTCCATTGTTTCTTTTATAACTAACAATGCTTCAAACCCACGTTCTAACAGTTTCATTTGTGCCTCCATCTCGCTTCTAGTAATCACCATCAATGTAACAAGGATCGTAGTGCTCTGATACCAATTGATAGAACTGATACCAAAATAGATTGATAATTGAATAACCAATGTTTTTATAAAATTATCTCCAGAGGAAAACAGTCTCACAGAGATATACACTCAGATTGTATAAGAAAACAAAGCAATAGGAGAAAATGAAAGAAGTATGAAAACACGGTTCTGCCAAGGATTTTGAGAGCCTTGGAACTCTCCCTTACCAAATTCCACTTTGAATTTCTAAGATCTCTCCCCTGTTCAGAGTCTTCTCCTTATATCCCACTTCCCAAAACTGCCCCATAACTATGATGCAACTGCCCCATAACTCCTATAATGGAACTGCCCCATAATTATGAGTAATGTCCACTAACTAATATAATCAAATCTGCCCTTTCCTCTTATACCTCTTATACACATTTCGAATAAAAGGTCTAACAGACTGCTACGTTAGAGTTTGGGGAAACAATACAAGAAAGAATACATAACAATTAAGACATATCCAATTATCAAAAGCATTCAAAATAAATACAAGTGATTCTTTTTATGGAAACACTATATCCAAGGTGAGGACGGCTGCCAAAAAAGTTACAAAAAGGACTTTTGAAAAGCCGCAAAATATGGGGAGGGGAGATCAGAGGAGAAAGACAAGAAAGGAGGGCCCAATTTTGTCATCATTCGGGATTTTGGGGTGAAATAGCCAAAACGTCCACAAGAAAGAAAAAAAACGGCTATGAGTTGAAGGAAAAAATGCGATTTAAGTTTGAAATGACCAAAAAAAATTCAAAGTTTTACAAGGAAAAACAATACAGAGAGAGTGGCAGAAATGACCAAAAAAATTCAAAATTTTACAAGAAAGACAATACAGTGAGAGTGGCAATGTGGTCTGGTATCTCATGACTGCTATTCAATCCACATCATCGGGTTAAATAGAGATAGACACTCAACATTCATATGTCTGCATTTCTATTTGGGGGTGGAACAAATACAGAAAAAATGTTAATTGACCTCTTAGTTACCTGGGTAAAATAGAAGTAAATTCTGTAGAGGAGAACAAATATACTGATCCTTAGTGATAATATCTTGCTTCCAAGATGTAGATCTCAAGACATTGAGCAACTTAGAATCATCACTTGGTTGCTTTTGTAACCCTTGAATAGCTACATGTGATGCCAAAGTCAAAACCAGTGTACATCCATACAAAAAAAAAACATGAAAATCAGACGAGTGACACATTCTCTATACAATGTTGAAATGTGCCATTACCTTGGTATAAAATTTCAAGACTGACGTCCTTCTCATAACAAGTCATTGGGCTCTTAAAATTTTCAAATAATATGTAGCATGCCCCATTCTTTATCTATTCATATCAAAAGAATTATTGTAAGTAAAGCTTAGGCAATAAAACCAAATATATGTTTGTAACCAGATAGACAGTTACTCGGAACAAGAAAACTGTTAAGGACAACCAACTGTTCAAGTAGAAACTTAAGTTATTTCAATTTTAAGCAAAAGGTTCAAAAATGCTTTTAAATCTAACATGCTCTTTAATAAGGAACTTTTTGACTTGGAGCATGAAATATTACACAAGCTAACTCTACCTTGTGTTGAAATTAGTCTTTTTTTTATAGAAGAATGTAGGTAACAAGGATCGAACTCGTTGCAACTCATCATAGAGGCTCTAACGCCAGATACCGACTCTGTTATAAATGATCGACTATTACTGGAAATATATTCATAATAAATGTCAATGAATGGTCTACTTAGCTAAGATTCATTGTATGATAGAATATAATCAATGCACTTTTGGAAATTGACTTAGCACTAATTATTCCTCTAATAAATTGCATCTAGAATTTGTTATCCTTGTAATCTTGTTTTATATAAATCTGAATTATGCCAAGTGATCTAATCCCTGAAGCATATTCAGAATCATTTCATCTTATACTTCTCAAATATCTCAAGTCGCCTTTAATAAATTTGGTCCAAGAACTTTTTTGTAATAACTTCTCTTAACATATAGGTCACTCTTTTTGTGTGTAATGGAGTTGTATTCTCACTATCCTGCTATTGCAAAGGTATTTTATCAATCATCAATAATTAGTGATTTGGTTTTTTTTCCCCTTTATTTTGTGCTTCGGCTTTTGTCATATATAGCGGGGGTGGGGAAATTTTAGCAAACTAAACAAAGAGCATTCTTTATGGTAGATATATTATGCATTTCAAAAGCTGCAAAAACAACAACTAGGCGGGATTGGAAACATGGATCAAATCGAAAGTCATATCTTTCAAAACCTTAACAATGAACTTTACCACACCTGAGGAAATGTCCTATGAGACAACAAAATAGGGAATGTGGCATTTTCTGTCAGCAGTAACTGTATTAGGTTCTCACGATCAGAAGAATTACTTAGCTTAAAGCCCATAATAGTAATATGAGGAAATCTGCAACCAAAATATTTTATTATTATTATGAAAAGTCCATCACTAATTGTATCATGTTTAGGAGGAATGGAAATAATAACCTTCATATACCTTTCCTGAATTGCCTTCAACTTTTGAAACATAATACCACATTCGAAATTGCTTGCAGCAAGAACCAAAAAAGTTCCATGAATTCCATCAATACCAAAAAAATGTTTATTTTTAACAGATCTGTTTAACCAATAATGATGGGTGCCTGAAATTCCAAATAGAAAAGGAATATTTAATAGAGTAATGATGATGTATTGTTCTTGTTCAATTAATTAAATCCCAAATGCGGTAATCAATGTGTCTTATAATTGGACCCATGTTAACTGTAACACAAAAAATGCCGCATACAATTCAAAACGGAGAAGTGTAACTGAGCAAATAATTATCTCATTCAATTGAAAACGTGTTACCGATTACAAATTGTGGAAAATAGCGGTTTGTTCAAATTCTACTACCCTACATCCCTATAGCACCAATATTTGTACACTTTGTCTTAAACTGCATATCATGGAATAATAGTGGTGGTTAAGATTTTGCTATGCTATAGCCGCTATTTGACCACACTGAAAAAAGATTTTTAAAAAAAATGCAAGTTATTTTTATCACTTCACAAAAATAAATTCCTCAGACAGAACCAACATTTCAAAGACAGCATTGGGACATGCTTGGGATTTAAAAATAAAGTAAAATGAAGTGAAGCTGTATTCAAGATCATATAACCAAAATCAAATAGATAAGAAAACAAATACCTTCAAGTTCATCCAAAGAAGATTTTATGAAAGACAAAAGATCAACTTCAGGAGCATGTTTATGTGATACATCAGCCAATGTTGAGAACCTGAATATGACTGTCAATCAGAAGTCAGGAAAACTAACACAGCAAGAAAATAATGAACAGCATGGATATAGACTCTAAATTTAATAACCTAATGTAACTTTTTAATCCTTATAATATCAATGTTATTAAATATCCACAATTGCGACGCTAAGGCAGATATACATGGTGATTTTTGGGCTCGCCTCAATGATAAATATCAGCCGATATTGCGAGTTTTCCCGCCATAATCTGCTATAACGGCACCACAAAGCGTCCAATATGACGGGAATGTGACTCTCTGCCATGGACAACACCATAAAATATATATTTTTTTCAGACTAGTCCCTAAATAAATTCCTGTCATTTATGATCCCTGAAACATAAAAAATATGCTTTTCCTATGATTCATTTTGCTTAGAAAAGTTGTCCAACCACAGAAACTGCGAAAGAACTAAACAATCACCACCACAACAAATAAATGAAAAAGCTGAAACTTCAAAAAGCAATTACCTATGTTGATGAAACCCTCTCAGTAAAGTCCCATTAGAAATTGGTTCAGGAGAAAATGGAACTGAGTTTAAACCTTTTCCATATTGCTGATAACAACCACCTAGAAAAAGTAAAAATAAAATGAAAATTGGTTGAGGAAATTGAATTAAATTAAACATTGTCGTAGTTGAAAAAATGAGTAGAATGTATAAACAGCTTCATTTCATCAAACAGCTTCTTGGCATTCTCAGTGTTGCCCATTTCAAGATAGGCCTTGATCATGATGTTACATGACATAATATTCCTCCTCGGCATTTGATCAAACAGTTTAACAGCAGCATAAAAGATGAGTAGAATATATAAAAAGACGTAAAGAGTGATTTGAAGCATTGAGAATAGACCTGAGTAGTAGAGAAGCGGTTGTAGAAACCACCTTGAAATTTCTTTAACACGACGATACCTCAGAGACAGAGACAGAGACAGAGCCATCTCTCTCTCACTCTCTCTCTCTCTCTCAACGGCTGTGTGGAAGTTTTTGAGATTTTTCTGGTGGCTGTGGCTTTCAAGATGTGGGTGGGTTTGCATTTAAATTCGACCCGAACCAAATTGACCCGACCCGACCTATTAGTTTAAAATTCCCATCAACTGCTTTTTTTTTTTTTTTTTGTACGCGTGTATCACACACCCAAAGTAAGTTCTCACTATTCCTCTTACATTTTTTCCTCCGATTTTTACGATTCTCTCTTTTTCTTGTAGTCAATAGGAGAAATTGAGTGTTATATTTCTCAACAATTTGTTTATGCTAAATGTAAGATTCAGGTAAATTTGAACTTTGAGCTTTTGAAAGGAGTGCATGGAAAGTGTTTGTAAAAATGTCTGTTTGAACTTTGAAGGACTTCATATTTACACCTTTGGTGTAGCATCTAATTCTAACCAAGAAGCTAACTCTTGTTGATGTTGTTGTTATCTTGTTAAGAATGGATTTAAACAGCAAGCAGGTTGATGAAAACCTACAAGTCAAGCCAGCACAAAATGTCTCATTCTGCCAAAGAAACAAGTCTGGGAATGGGAGTTTTGTGTCTAAATTAAGAGATCACTTTCATGAATTTATTCACGCATCTGCTGATGAACACAGGAGATGCTTCAGAAACACAATTCAAAAGGTATATTTCTACTATGACTCAGTGTTGTCAATTGCCGAAAATAACAGTTTGTTCAAACAATAGCAATTTGTTCAAGTTCCACTAGACTATAGTACTATATCCCCGCTATTTGATAACACTATGATCGTATAAGCCTCTGTGATGCTCACGAGTGACGTATTATATATATTGTTTGAAACAGATATTTCATGCATCAAAGGTTTTTGGAAAAAACAGCGAAAGCATAGACGAAGGTGAAAGCTCACTACAACTTCATTCATCTACAGGGAAATAGAATGCTTTTCTGAATCATTAGTAGATTATTGTGTAAGTCTATAATATATATATACTAAAACTTTGGAACACATGATTTACTATATTGTCATTAAATGGAGTTTGTATATGTAGTTCTTACCATTGTAAACTTATTCATCATTAAATTTCTCATTCGATTGTAGAACGTATGTCCTCTTATGAATTGTTGGAAGTTGAATACTCAATTTGTCATAATAGAAAGTTGCAACAATGTTTATATGAGCATTTTTATCTCTCTTTATATAAAAAGAGGCGTACTCGCGAGTCACGACTGATATGCATAGAGAAGTTAGTTACAGACAAATATGAAAGAGTTACATTACAAGATAAAAGTTACTGGTCAATGCTTCTAACTGTTGAATGCTTTTTCAAAAAAATGGTGTTCAATAGAGTTCCAAGTTCCTTAGCCTGCATATAATTTGTAACGAAAAAGAACACAGCTAGAAAACAAACAGAAAATGTTATCTAGTGATCTTGTTTTTACTGTATTGTGGATTATATACTTAATAATTGTCATCATAAACAAGATTGGTCACTACTCACTGCTGATGTTTACTTTGCTACATCCAGTAAGCAGGCAGGGGAACTTTGCCTGACTCAATATTTTTAATGTCTTCTTGAAGTATCTCATATTGCTTCTTGATATCCACTTCAGTTGTCCCTCCGACAAACATGGCTATATTGTACCAACGGTCAGAAGTTTCCTTGTCATATATTGCCAATGCATTTTCAAACAGTTTGTTCTTCTTGGTTGTCCATTGTAGACTTGAGTTAGGAGAAGAAAGCATGCTGGATTTTTTGGATGTCATTGCAACAAAAAATCATAAGAGGATTTTAGATGGGAAGAAAGTGTTTGACTCTTTATAAACTCTTTTTAGGTCTTGTCTCTTTTAACTCTCTGTATATAGTCTTACAAGACTTTATATCTGTTCCATGTGGATAAGAGGTGATCCTTTGGCAAGTTGCAACTAAATTAGAAAGAATGATTGACTATACCAAGGACGTGAATGAATGAGAGAGCAATAGGTAGAAGACTGGGGGATCACAAGGAACTAGGAAGTTGATAAGGTCAATATATAAATACACCTGATTGTAGAGATGATGCCATTTAAACTATATAAGGAAAGTTTTCAAGGTTTCCAACAAAAGTACCACATGTTATAAATTATCCTTATAGTATAATAATATGATGATTATATAGCTTTTAGTCTCGATACCTACCTTCATGTTTGTTTTAGTTGTTGAGAGCATCTCCAATACTTAACATCGTTTGAAGTTATTAATTTATTATATAATGAGTCTTACTTTGCCACAACAATTGTAAGAACTTTAGTAACTTTTTCCTTATAAAACAAGATAATTACTTAATACACCATATATATTACTTTTCTATTATCATGAAAATTCAATAATATTTTTAGAATTTGGAGATGCGTCTTCAGACCCAGCCAATCAAATATGTTCTTGAATTAGATCCTATAGCTATGTAAAAAAATGACGAAAATACATATTAGGTAGGAGATGCATCTTCAGACATTGTTTAATCAAAAAGGGCGTCAGAAATGCATATTCGGAATCTGGAAATGCATATCCGAAATTTATTAATGTTTTTTTTTTTGTTTGACCTCATTGTATTTCATATGTAGAAAAATAGATTGAGACACGACAAGATTGCACAACATGCATCGGTTCGTAAAAAAAAGACACGACCGTCCCAGGTACATATTGTTTCTAGCTCGGTTGATACTGAGGCGTCAGCTTCTGAGGCTCATGCATCTCTGTCTTCATCTTCCCGTAAAAGACAAGTGTCATCTCCTCATGCATATTCGCCTCTATCTTTCATATGAGACAAGTTTCACCTATTCACGCACCCGATCACATTGGACAATGTCTCGTGTCTGCTACATCTTTTGATAAGGGGAAAACTGTTAGACCACGAGAAGATTAGCAGAGATGACTCACTGCAGATGATGGTTGACTATATGGGAGTTGACCCAAGAGACGCCATCAAGGAGTTAGAGGCCACCCGAGAGGCCTATGCTATTTTTTTTGATTCCGTGAGAGATTGTATACACAATAGTTGTAGGCGGTAAAGGAGGCAGTGGGTGATGACTAGCAGGTTGTATAGCATAGAGCATACGCTCCGAGAGCATACCTGTTGTATTAGGTTGACACGTCCATTTTTGTGGACAAAAGTGCCACTTATATGGATGTGATCTACCTGCAGTACTTCGATGACTTGAAACGGATCCACGAGTACAACTAGGGGGCCGCTTGTTTGGTCTACATGTACTTCAAGTTAGTCGAAGGTTGTATGTGGAAGACCAAATAGGTGACAGACAACATTACATTGTTGACGGTAATATCTCTACATCTTTTAGTGTTTGTGCTTTATTTTCATAACACTTTTGTAACGTCGTTACTAATGATTCATATGTTCCATTTTCATACTTAGATCCTCCAACACTTTACACACATATTCGGCTACATGTAATTTGTTCCCAGAGACCTCTCTGTATTTGCTCATCCCAATATGACACGTAGAGATATGGATACAATGTTTAATGATTATCTTAATCATATGGTACCAAATGAGGCACATAGTACCATAGCTCCTGGCAACTGCAGTGCTGCACACAACTACATTAGGTGGTTTTTTAGGGTGTCACGTCCTTGTATGATATAGTATGCTCTGAGAGATCCACCTAGTCCAACTCATGAGCAAATACTAGAGGATGAGCAGGTTATGGCAGATCATGTTGTTGATGTGTTTCCTAGATGTCGTCGTATCATAGAGATTGGGCAGGAGGGTATAGACAAATTACTCTTTTCGTATGGCTCTGAGGTAAGAGATGTTCTAGATGCCACGATGGTGGAGGCATTCCAATACAAGAGACATCGTAGGAACAAGCGTACCCGAGTCCGTCATACACATTAGTTTATAATATTTGTACTATGGATTTATCATCAGTTGTATTTTATTTTAACTTCATTGTGTATTTTGAATTGATTACTTTATGTATGACATTTTCATCATATCAACTGTATGGTTTAATTTATACCAAAAAAAAAGTATAGAAAATGATAGTATAGTTATAACATGTCATCAAATTCATCAGAGCATTTCTAAATCTAAGTAAAAAATTGGGAAATAATTACGATCTTCTACTATTTTCATAAGTTTGATGTAGCGTTTTGATTACAACAAAATATCACACAATAATTTCCTCTGTTGATGCATACACTCAAACTGCTAACAAAAACACAATCCCTAAAGATTTTGATCCAATAAGCTTGTTATATACAATAATTCTACTCCAAGTATTTGTATGTGGCAACCCACCTGATCCCACTGATTTCTTGTCTGAGTGATTTCCAAAGCTAAGTGTTGATTGGACAACTCCCAACTTTATTTGCGACCATCCTTTCCACAATCTCACCAAAGTTTGACATCTTCCAAATCCGTCTTACGAACAATTTGTACTAGGCTTTGCCTAAGTCTTCAATGGAATATAATGAAGCCAAACTAATTTTAATTCTCGTTTTCCCCCCACACGTTGTCACTTGTCAGTATCATTAAATGCTTTTTCTTGTCATGATTATGTTTGATGTGATTTAATGTTTAATTAAATGCTATTTGCTGAACGTGTGACTCTTGTGTGCCCTAAATTTCTCTATAAATTCCACACCACTTCACTTATCACACTTTTCACTCTCGTTCACTCTCTTATGCATTTCTGCTTATTGCATTCTTTCATCTTCTCCTCAAAACCCAAATCTCACTGTAACCCTAAAACTTTCTCTACTTCATCAATGGCAACATCTTCATCAACATCTCAACAACTTCAATCAACAATGGCTGTTATCTCTTATGCAAATATGGGTACTGTTGCTTTCAAAGAACCAGTTAGAACCCTCCTCACACCAGTTGACAAACTTGAAGTTCTGTGTGAATCTATAGTGAACTTTGAATCTATTACAGAAAATGGGTTTGATCTTCGTCCCATTGTTGATGATCAAAGTTGGACAAAGTTCTTTGATAGGCTGATGGGACCAGTTCATCCATGTCTGGTGAAAGAATTTTGGATTCATGCAACTACATACCCTAAGTTCATTGTATCATCAGTTCTGGGTAAGGAAATCGTCATAACTGAGGATTTGATCAGGAAGCTCATTGGTTATGAAGAAACTAATGGTGTTACAAATCTGCCAGCTGAGCATATTGACATGACAGAGGTTTACAGTAAAGTTTGCTCATCTGGAGAAGCTTCTAACAAAGTGAAAGATCTGAAGCCAAACTACAGGATTTGGGCTAAGATCTTTATGGGATGTATACATCACAGTAAGTCTTCAAACTCTCTTGATTATGTAAATACTGATCAGATGTACTTCATGTACTGTCTGAGTCAAAGCACAAAAGTGGATCTACTTTATCTGCTTTTCAATCATTTGTGGACTCACGTGAAACAATCAAGGGAAGAAGTAAGAACTAAGCATCAGAAGATGAGAAATTGGATACCAATGGGAAGACTCGTTTCAGACATTCTGACTGAGAATGGTTTGGTTGGACATCTGATAGAAGCTGGTATGCAGGAAGAATTAGCTTCAGTGGTAGGCAAACCTCTGAATGGGAAAAGTCTTCAGAGGATGAAGGTTGTAGAAGAAATCACTTCTGCACCAAAACAGATCAACTCTGAAGAGGTCAGCAAAAGAAGGATACCAGTAGATGATTTTCCTCTGTTCTACGTTAATGAACCAAGGGAAATTATTCTGAAACATATATCAACGTGTCTAGCTGATGGAACTCCTCTACCAAAACATCTGATTCAGAAAGCAGGTGAACCTGAACCAGATTTTTATGGAGACAGACACAGGAAGAAGAGGAAAGTTTCAGAAGAAGGATCTTCAAAACCAAAGAGGAAAGCTTCTGGCGAAGTAGTTTCTGTTAAACCAAAGAGGGTCAAGAAGCAAAAAGGTAAT